GGATGCACATGTTTCTTCTACTCTCATCCAACCATTTCCAAACAGAGAATAAGATACGAAAGAGTAATGTTTGTAAACTAAAAATCTAACATAATTTACTAACATAATGAGGGTGTTATGGGGTTTATTAAAATAAAGGAAATAAAACAAGGCCAATAGCATAACCTATCGGCCTCAACTAAGACCATAGCGACCCATACATAAGCTGTCCAATACCTTTCTTACTGTACGGTCTTTCATTTCAATCTATGGGCAAGAGTTGTTACGTTATTGCTTGATTTACTTAATTCCCGATTTTTATTTCAAGAAACGAGGAAGAAAGAAGAACCTTGACTCAACCGATTCAGGAAAAGAAAGTGACTAGTGATGCTTTAAGGAAAGACGCAGAGCTACTAGCTACTCAATTGATTGCTTTCTAACTGAATGGTATCAGTGAATTAGATCAATAAATTAAATCAAATAAAATAATTCAATAAAAAAATATCATATTCTTATCCAAATCTATTCCAAAAGCTGTGCCAATCCTTTGAACCGGTGCCCATTCAGCAAAATTATTAATTGCATGTTCAAGGGGTCAAATCTATTGTGTAAATTGGTGGAAACAGTCAAAGCCAAACTCAATGGAGGAGGCAAAAAAATTCTTGCTAGAGCTTTCCATTGGTGGACAAGTTACTCGATACCCACTTTGAAAATTTTACAAAACCTCATTGTCTTAGGTTTGAATCCAGTAAAGGTTGTTGGAACTTGAAGATTCCTCAATTTTCATTCAATCACAGTGAAAAAGACCACACCCACCACCACTATAACCAGCATACCCACCGCCACTATAAAGATTTTTTTTTTTTTATTCTATATAAGGTCGTAGTAAAAAGTGCCCGATGTAAAAAATTAACTTCTGCCTATTACCGAAATAAAAATGTATTAGCATAATTAAATTATCGAAGTTAAAAAAATTGAAACAAAAAGATAGGCATTTGTTTCGGCATTTTGTGCCGAAGCAAAAATGACTATTTGCTTTAGCATTTTGTGCCGAAAGAAATTACTGGAATAAATTCAAAATTTTTTGCTTCGGCCTATTGTTGATGCAAATATTTCATTTTTTACTTCAGTTTTGCTAACCGAAGCAAAAATTCATTTTTTGCTTTGGCATAAATAACTTTGAAGCAAATATTCTATTTTTAGCTTCAACCTTCCTAACCGAAGCAAAAATTCATTTTTTGCTTCGACATTTGCCCCAAGCTAACAACTTTTTTTCTTGTAGTGTACCCACCATCATTTTGGATCACAAAGAGTCAATTTTGGTGGGTGAGAAATGGCACTTTGCTTCCGATGAAAATAGGAACCTAACAATTTTAGCTTTGGTTAGAGGTGCACAGCACTTGATTCATTTGTCATGCAAACCAGCCAAAAATATGCTTAGAGAAAAAAGAAAACATGACAGAGAACAACCCTTAACGGGATGGTTCAAAATCCGGATCACTCAAATTACTAAACACTAAAACCCTACCTTTATGTTGATTAGGTTTGGAACTGGTATCACAAATATGAATTCAACATCACTTGATTGTGCGTGTACGGATTTATACACGAAACTAAGTCACACTTCTTAAAAAATAATGACATTTAGTATGTATGAATGCTTAGTTTTATGCAATTTTGTATAATAGTTAAAACAATATAAGATAAGATAAGAGTTTCAGAACCAATTGTAACTCAACACCGTGTGCGAGTAAAGTTTACTCGTCCCACTGTACATCCATGAAATCTCGTATCCCGTACCCGGTCCGGATACCCATTTGACTCACAATCTAAGTAATATTAGTTCAAACCATTAATGGATAGTTACTTCCGAATCATTGTCGTCTTACTCTTGTTCACTCAATCTCAAACCAGGCAAAAACAATAACGTTTCATTTTTATCCACACGTAGAGTCACCTCTACTTTTCACAATGAAGCTCGTGATGTACTACTACTCTAAACCAAACAACAGGGGATAAAGTGAAATTTAATTCGACAAGCCTTATCTTCACGCTTCTAGTTTTGTAATTGTCCCATACGGAAATCAGTTGCAGAAAATACAAGTACAAACCAGAAATGGCAATAGAGAAGACAAGATTCTTCCCATAGATTTCAACAAACAAACCCACCCCACCACTACTACCACTCAATAACATCACCAAACATCCTTACTAGAGGCCAAAAACTGGTAGGTCAATAAGCAATCTGACCTCAACGCAACAGTAAAGCTGAAAGGTGCATTGTCTCACATAAGGATAACAGGCCAAAATCTAACCATGCGTAACACAGAAGGAAGGAAAGAGAGAGAGAGAGAGAGAGAGACATTAAGAGGGGGAAATGGGTAATGTTTATTCAGAAGGGTTCTTGATTCTTGAAGTTCCATCAGTACAAAATATCAACAGATATCTAGTTAACTTTCTGTACTACTTGCACTAACCTAAATCATTGAACCCCCAAACTATCATACTATTTACCCTTTCCCTCTCAAATGATCTGTTAGACAAAGGGTCTGGTTATATTTGCTGTTAATTTTCAAGCTTTGTTATGTTACAGATCATTGGTCTAAAATCTACTCTAGTTGAAAGCCCTACTTTTCTCTACAAGTAAAAGAAGGGTGGCGGAAAATGGAAATATACCACCACCATGAAAACTAAAAGCAATTCCCACAACTGTTCTAAACTATCCCAAGCTTGAGATGAACTGAGCATTTGTAGGAAAAGTAAGTCATGATGAAACACTAACATCTTTCAAGGCTCCATCTTTACCCATTCATAACGGCCCAGAAGGGGTTTCTCGTTCACGAGATCAAAGTTGTACCTGCAACAAATATTCAGTGGGAAAGATTATATTACCACAAGGTGGTAAATGGCATTTGCAGTTAGTATGTCACAAGGGAAAGAACCAAACACAAAAAAACATATGGTGATGTGGTGTACTTCTCAACAAATTGTCTTTGCTGCTCTTTTTCTGCACCAGCAAAAAACTCTTCCATTTCAAGTGCCATTGGAATGTGTCTTTCCATTGAATTTTGAATTATACCATTAGCCTCAGTTGAACTGGTAGGACTAGTAGTAGAACCAAGAGTTCTGATGTTGTCTGGATCCCTTATCAAACTAAATGGTGTGGTCTCCCTAGCGCTCCTGTTACAGAGATGTAATCCATATCAGAAACACATTGTAGAAATTCCACAGTTAAGAGATGAACAATAGAATGCGCTGAACAGTAAACGGTCTCCTTTCCCCAATCATGAAGAGTACCCCACCTGATATTCAATAAGTGCATATGCCCACCAATCATTTACAGCTTTGCTATTCAAGATACCGATTTACCAAGGCACAAAATGTATTCATCATGTTACAATACAAGGCAATGAGATATTTTTGTCACACCTACACTTGGGAGAACAAGCTACAAAAGGGCCAGCAAGAATTTTACTCACAAACTCCAATTTTTATTCTTTTTTTTTTTACCAATGGAGACGAAGCTCTCCGCTCATTTGCCATATCATGCAAAAGAAAAACAAACCATAGCTCCTGCTCATTTACCAATCAGTGAAAACTGACAATTTCTTTATATAAAACCTCAACAAAATTACAAAATAAACAAAAACTGTGAAAATGGGTAGAACCCACTGCTAAATATGTCATCATAAGAACAAAGATACAAGTCATTTTTCATGTGATTCAGGGAAAAGGAATAGAGATAAATTTGGGGGAAAAAAAAAAAGAACACAAACATATTGCTTTCTAGGTCAGAAAGGAACAGCAGGAAACAAAGATGAGGGAGAATTGACTTAAGTGGTTTGGACATATTTATGGACGGCCTATTATGGCACCAATGAGAAAGAGTGATATGATAGCTATTGGCGGAAAACACAGGGGTAAAGGAATATCAAAATTAATTTTAAATGAAATAGTAAAAAAAGATATAATAACTTTTGTTTTAAGAGAACACATGGCCCTTAATAGAGCTCAATGGCGAAACAAAATTCATGTAGCTAACCCCAAAAAAAATTGCACAAGACTTTGTTCTTTTGAGTTGAGTTTACAGGTTTGCCAAGCAAATATGAGAAAATCTTTAGAACTACACAATTTCCCCTACAAATCACAAATGCACTAGCAAAACAGACCACAGCACTGGGACTTGCCGAGAGATATGAACTTAAAACTCTAATAATCTATATAGTGCAAAACGCTATATTTATACGAGTTTTAAGTTCATATCTCTCTGCAAGTCCCAGTGCTGTGGTCTGTTTTGCTAGTGCATTCCTTGATTTTGCTACTTTTCTTTGCCTACATTTTTCTCAGAATGGGAGGCTCCGAACCAAACTTTTCCAAGTTTTTCTTCATTAAATAATCTATTGATTTTAAATAAAAACTCTAAACCTCCCTCCCCACAAATAAGGAAAAACTCAACTCTATTGATTTTAAACTCCAAAAGATGAAAATCAATTATTCAATTTTCTTTTCGACTTTTCCAAGATTTTCTTCATTAAATAATCTAAATTAAAATTTTCCATTTACATAAAACACTAATCTTAAAAATTAAAAATTCACATAACGAATGCAATAAATTCCGTCACTATTCACTCAATTAATAAAACTCCAAAACATTTTATCAGAAACAATACAAATTAATTTTGAATTTCTGAATATACCCCAAGTTTTCTCACCAACCAAACACTTCATAAAAAAATCTTTCAAACAAACACTAATTAACCAAAATTCACACTCCAACACTATTTCAACGTTTTCTCACCAGAGCACTTCTGAAAAATAAAATTAATAATACCTTAATCAACAAAATTGAGTCTTAAGAAAAAATCATCTATCGAACTCCATAATATTTCAGCCAAAAAAAAAAAAACAAATAAAAACCAAAAGAATTCACATTTTTTCATTCAAACTCCAAAAAAATTCCTCGCTAAATAAAAAGATAATTTTCATTTATTCACATACCCAAATTTCTCAGCAGCCAAACAGAGCATGCAAAAAAAAAAAAACGTATTTTGCACAAAGCATGCCAAAAACCTCTTCTTCTTCTTCTTTTTTTTTTTTTTACCGAAAAAGCCCTAATCAACAAAAATCCCAGCACAAAAATTCATCTTTATTATTTCAAAATCCATAAAATTATTCACAAGAACTATTTATTCAATTTTCCCAGATTTTATCAGAAACCAAACAGAGCATGAAAAAAAAAAAATTCGCAAAAACTCCAAATCAACCAAAACCCAAAAAATCACTTTTATTAATTCAAAGTACAGAAGATTATTCACATTAATTAAAAAAGAAAATTCGTTTATTCATTTTTCCCAGCAAACAAACAGAGTATGCAAATCAACAAAATTGAGAAAGCCAGAAAAACCCACCTCTCTCTACCTTCAAATTCGAACATATTCTCTCCGAAAGACGCTTCAAGAACCCTATCACCACTCTCTTCTTTGTTGTCAATTTCTTGATTATCTGTATCCAAACAACCCTCCTCTTTACCCACCATCTTGTCCCCCGCCTGCATGCAACCATTTTCTTCGCCAAAAGACCCAGAATTGGCAGAAGACCCAACTCTCAACCTCGAACTCGTTTTAGAACTAGGGTTTTGGTTTACCTTTTCTTGCCTAGGGTTTGGCAAATTGCTCTGTTTTGGATGCTGTCTCTGTCTTTTTGCATCGATGTTGGCCACAACGATTTGGGGTTTTTCTAGCCGTCGACTTCTGAGCTGAAGGTAGGACCCATCGGAGTCCGCCACCGCTGCCGCCGTAGAGAGCGGTGCAGCCGCGGATTTCTTGAGACGTCGCAAAGCTAGGGTTTTGGCCCTTGTACGTACGCCTAGAGAGGCTTCCACGAGGGCTCGCTCTCCTGTTGTCTTCGACTTCCTCATGAACTTCCCCATTTTTGCTCTGCGTTTGCGTGCTTGTTTAAGACAAAGCCCCCACGGAATTTGAAAAAGAAAGCATAGGGAAAGAGAAGACAAGTGGAGTTTCAAGAAAGAAAGAGAAAACAGGTGGTAGAAAAAGAGGGGGAGAGAGACAAGGGGTGGGTTTTCTGTTGTCGGTTGTACAGAGAGAGAGAGACAGAGAGAGAATGGAAGATGAGCGGTTTGCAGTTGTTGGTTAGGAGCTCTTTTTCCGGAAGGGAAAGGGAGGACTGAAAAATGAAAAAAAACAGGGTTGGGGCAATGGCATGAGAGATTGTAATTTCAATATCTCATGGTATAGTTCTTCTAACTATTGTTAAATTTACCATCTCCCTCGTCAGACATTTTTTCTTTCTTTTTTTTCTTTTTTCTTTTCTTTTTGTTGTGGTGTGTATTTTTGAATTGTATTTTCTTTGTTGTGTTTTTTTAATCAAAATATCGTATTTTAGATTTTATATAGACAATGAATATCGTAAGAAAGCTATACATATAGCCACATCGACATTTCACTCCAAAAAACTTTAAGAAGGTTGTGATTTGATGAGTTAAGACAAAATTTTAACCTTGAAAAATATCACACGGAACTTATTGTATTGTCGTGTCAAGTACGTGCGTGGGGCACCTTGTGGAGTCTTTTTATGGTTCGCAAATACACCAAACAGTGTAGTCAGAGTTAAAAATTGGACATACGTATTAATATAAATGGATTATGGAATAGACATTGAGTACAACACGGTCGGGATCCCACAATAAGCTTCCACGGGTCGTGAGGGTTATGGTGGGGCGGTGGGGGTGCGGGTGGTAGTGGTGGGTGTGGTACGGTGGCGATAGTAGTGATAGGGGTTGCGGCGGTGGTGGTGGCGGTAGAGCGGTGGGGGGGGTTGTAGAGGTAATGGTGGAGTGGTTTCAAACACTTTTTTTTTAAAAATATTTATAATAAATAATTATTAGAAAACACTTTTAAAAAATTACTTCAAACGCACCCTTAGGGACCTATTTTTTCTATTAAATTTGAGATTTTAATATTAGCCGTCAGATTAATTTAAAGTAAAATTTAAATATATCTTAACTACGAATAACAAAAATTATTTTATTTATTTTTTAAAATTTGAATTATATTATGTTTTATTATATAAATTTTAGGCATTCATATGTTATATAAACCAGGATTAAAGTATTTTAATTCTTTATGACTTTTTAGTACATTTTCTAATATAACAACATCACAAAGAATGATGTTATTTGAACTTAAAAATTTAATTTAATTTATTGACATAATTATGCGTCTACATAAAAATCATTGGATTAGTACCAAGTTCTAATGTTTGATAAGGCCTACAGTCAATTCAAACGTCACAGTGAATTAGATCAATAAACTAACTTCCAATAATATTGCAAAGGCATAAAAGATTTGAACAAAGAAAATAATTGTTTAACCAAAGAAAAGAAATACAAAAATGAAAACAATGTACACAGCTATTAACTCGCGATACGAGTTGTAGGGGACTTATAAGACTCGCGAGAACTAAGCATTGGATACCTTCTTATTTGTGGCCAAGTGCAAAGAACCTGGAATTGAATTATTATTTTTTGTTGTTTAAGTATTTACTACGTTAAAACCTATGCCCCACCCCTTAAAAATGGGGACCACTCTACGTTGGGGTTAAGAGGGCATTATCAAGTTTCCTCCACTTTTGAAATTAAAAGTTTGCCTAATGCTTATTGTCCGTATATTAGATTTTAAGACAGCAAGTTTGAATATTATTATTATTTTTTTATAAAAAAAAAAAATAAACAAGTCTCTTTTACGAGCCCGGTGAAAAATAGTATATCCTTTTTTATAATGTGGATATTCATATTTCAAAGAAAAAACAAGTTTTATCGATACCATAATTAGGACTCTTAGTCGACCAAGTTCGAGCCGAACTCAAACCAAGTCTAAAAAACTTGTTTCTTAATCGAGTCTAAGAAATTGTTTAAGTTCAGTTCGTTTAGAAAACGAGTCGAGTTCGAATATTTACACATAAATCAGTTGAGTTTGTCAAACTTATCGGACTTGTTTTTTAAACGAACTTAAAAACTTGTTTAAGTTCGATTTCGTTTTCTGAACGAATTCGGTCTGAACGAGTCAAAAAGAATAAAAAATGAGTCGAATTTGAGCCAAAATCGAGTAGTTTAGTTCGATTAACAGTCATAATCATAATTAGATGAAAAAAAAAATATTATTTTCTTGATATCTAAAATTATATTTCATAAGAATTTTTCGTTTTCAAATTCAACAAATCATGACTTTTAAGTGTAAAATCGTGTTTCTAAATCTCTATTTTTAGGCAGAGCCATTTATGTTAGCTTCCTTCTAGATTGAAAACCTTTTTCCCTTAAGCCCAATAATATTATAATAATCCATCATTCTCTTTTATCTTTCAATATTCTCCATTTCAATAACATTATATGTGTCCATTTGTGTCGTGTCACGTCATCAATGTGTTATTATTTTTATGTCATTTCATTGTAATTTGTATCGTCTTTATATTAATACTTACAAAAAAAAAATTATTTAAAGTTTTATAAGTTTCAAACATTAATCGACTTAATTATTATGCATATTTATCAATCGTGCCAATTTTAAATTTGTGTCTCATAAATAACTTTATTTAGACCTAAAATACATGGTTTACTAACCTAATTGATCATAATAATTAAACGATAGTAAATTTTAATAAATGCTAAGACTCACAGTAAATTCAATATATATAAATGACATTACTTTTCTCCATTTAGTGAGTAATCCAATGCAAAGGAAAAAAAAATTTGTTATAATAAAAAAAAAAGATATTGTAATATCATCATATTTCTGAATACCAATCAAAGCAACTCTGGCTCTATTTGATTTACATCTCAAAAATTGTTTCCTGTTTTCGAAAATAGTTTTGGGAAGAAAAGTTGTTTGATGAATTTTTTTTTTTTTGAAAACTGAGAACAAAATTTAAAGAATAAGTTAGAACTGTTTTGTGTATTTTTAGAAATAACTTTTTTAGAATTTACAAAACACCACTATAATACTTTCACTACCACCACACTTTCATCATCATGACCACTATCACTGCTACATTTTCATCATCATCACATTTATATTTTTATTATTTTTTAGGTTATTGTCCAAATAAGTTTTATTATTTTCTATTAAGTAGAATTATTGTTGGAATTATATAATCAAAAAAGTACTACGACACAAAAAATACTAAAAATAATTTTCTAAAACCCTTCAAAAAATTAATTTCTAGATGTTATTTTTTAAAACACAAACCAAAAAGTGCCTCCAAATTCCTTTGAGTTTCTCTCCGTGCCAAATTGTGGACATGGGTTGCTTGTGTTTTCATTCCTACTCTCTCATTCCCACTTCTTTTTTCCTAAAGTTTTTCTTCCCTTTCCTTCAAAGCTAATCATGCTTTGAAATGAAGAATTGAAATTTGAATTCGTTTATAAATACCCGTTCCAAAAAAATTCATTTATAAATAAAATTCAATGGTCCTACTTGGTTTTGAAAGAAAAAAATCATCCATCATTGGGGTTGAATTATTATTATTACTATTTTTTTCAAACATTTGGACCAATTTGGTATCAAATTAACAAAAAAGACGGTTGAATTATGTAGTTTCATTCTAATCAAGAACATATGGAATGGGAAAAACTTATATTGGGTATGATTTTTTAGCCTGAATGCCAATTCCATGGTTGGTTTAGCATTGCATTAAATGGGGGAAATCAAAATTTCCAAATTAATTTTTTTTGACTTATTTAAAAAAAAAAATACGTAAACAATGGCAAAGAAGAGCATGAAAAAGGGCCTAAGATCGTCTCTCATCTCACACAAACTTTTACCCAAATTTGAGTAAAAAAAAGAGTAAAAAAATTGATTTGATAGAGATTTTTCCAATGGACGGACTCTTTTTTAGACTCAAATTTTTTTAAAAAATTCCAATGTTATCCCAATAACTCTTTTTTCTTAAAAAAAAAAATCTAAATTCGTATATACATAATTTGTATGTACTGCATTTGTGGCAAATTCGTTTGTACATAATTCGTATGCACTGTGTTTGTGGCAAAATTTCATTAAGTGCCTCTTGTGGCAAATTGAAAATTCCAAATTCGTATGTAATAATGAAAATTCCAAATTCTATTAAGTATACGAAATATATATATATATATATATATGTGTGTGTGTGTGTGTGTGTGTGTAAATTCTTATATAGATGTACCAGTTATTGTCTGTGCTTGAAAGTACATAGTAATAAAAAATGGTAAATAATAAACATATTTATATTTATATTCAAAATCAAATCACAAATATAAAGAAATTATAAATGAATTTAAGCATTGATTTGTAATGGGGGGTGAGAGATGGTGGGCGATAATGGTGGTGGTAGGAGACGATGATGGTTGTAGTGGGTGGAAATGACCGTGGTGATCGTGAGGGTGGTGGTGGTGGCGGCAATGGCGGCTGCGATGATGGTGGCGTCGGCGACAATGGTTGTGGTGGTGGTAACGGTGGAGGTGGTGGCAATGGTGGACCGGTTTCAAATACTATTTTTAAAAAAAATATTATGAGAAATAATTTAAAAAGTCATTCTAAACACACCCTTAGGGGCCTATTTTTCTATTAAATTTAGGTGTTAATATTTAACCGTTAGATTAACTTTAAAGTATCGTTTAAAACGATCTCAACTGCGAATAACAAAAGTTATTTTGTTTATCTTTTGAGATTTGAATTGTAAATTATTTTATTATATAGATATATATTTTTTGAAAGTATAAAGATGTATATATATATATATATATATATAGATTCCTAAACATATGGTGTTTGTGACCCCAGAGAGAGAGAGAGAGGGTTTACTTGAAGAGAGATCCACTGACAAACACAGAGTTGAAGCGGTGTGAAAAGAAGAGAGATAATATATATTTTACCATTAGATTTTTGGGTATAGCTTTAGAACAAAGTTTCTCTTCATTTGGTATAGGTTTGGGTATAAGATTGAAGAAAGTTTTTTGCCCACTTTTTTTTTTTTTTTGTATGTCTTTTTACCCTAATTTAAATTTGAATCTAATAGAATTCTAAAAGAATGGGTATAAGAAATCAATCTTTAAATTGAGGTTAGCAGTTAGCC